AAGTTGCAAAACCTATCTGAATACAAGGGAGGTCGTGTGGTGGTGATAGCCGACAACTCAAGGTTATCGATATCTCACATCGGTAAGACGATAGTTACGCCTCGATATAATTCTAACCAGGTGCCACTTCAAGATGTTTATCATGTCCCAGCAATGAAGAAAAACTTGCTATCTGTGGCTCAATTGACATCATCAGGCCACTATGTCTTATTCGGTCCCCATGATGTGAAGGTGTATCGTGACCTCAAAATCTCAAAAACACTGACAATGGAGGGGCGATGATTAGAGTCAGTCTACGTGATGTCAGCAGAGTCAGCATATGTAGATAAGACAAGAAAAAATGAGACAGCAGATTTTTGGCACATGAGGTTAGGTAACGTTAGCTATTCCAAGCTAAGTATGATGGTGAAGAAGTCGATGCTTAAGGGGCTTCGTCAACTAGAGGTGAGAACAGACACAGTCTACGCGAGATGTCAGTATGGTAAAGCACACCAATTACCATATGAGGAGTCGAAGTTTAAAGCAAAAGAACCGTTAAAGTTAGTTCACTCTGATGTGTTCAGACCGGTTAAGCAATAGTTAATTGGCGGTATGCGGTACATGGTGACATTCATTGATGACTTCTCAAGGTATGTGTGAGTTTTCTTTATGAAAGAAAAATCTGACACATTCTCAAAGTTTAAAGAGTTTAGAGAGTCAACTGAAGGAGTAGTGGGAAAGAAGATCCGTTGCTTGCGCACAGACAACGGGGGAGAATATAGCTCAAGCGAGTTCTCTCAATACCTAAGGGAATGCCGAATACGTCATTAGTACACTTGTGCCAACACATCGCAACAAAATGGTGTAGCTAAGAGAAAGAACCAGCATCTTGCAGAAATTTGTCGAAGTATGCTACATGCAAAGAACGTACCGGGAAGGTTTTGGGTTGAAGCAATGAAGAATGCAGCCTTTGTGATCAACAGACTTCCTTAACCAAGGTTAGGATTTGTTTCACCCTTTGAGAAACTAGAGAACATGAAACATACAGTTAGCTACTTTCGAGTATTTGGTTGTGCTATGTATTTGTTCCTGATCATTTACGGAGCAAGTTCGACAAGAAAGCTATTAGATGTATCTTTGTGGGATACGACAGCCAGAGGAAATGTTGCGATCTAATGAGTGGAAGATGCTATACGTCACGGGATGTGGTGTTCGATGAAACATCTTCTTGGTGGTCCTCATAGAAGGAGGTGTTGCCAGACTCAAGAGAATTTGGAGACAAGCTGCAATAAAAGATGGGGGAACATACTATTCAACTCCAACCAAGTTCAGATGAATCAAGAGATCTAAACAGCGATGATGTCGAACAAAGAGTGACTCAGAATCCTTGGCAAACTGGCGTGTATCAACAACCAAACGAAGAAGGTGGGCCTAGTGAAACAGAAGAATCAACTCCACAATCTCAATTCTGAAGGTCAACAAGAACACGAAGGCCAAATCCCAAATACGCCAATGCAGCCATAGTTGAAGAAGCAACTATAATAGAGCCTGAGACGTTCAAATAAGCATCGCAGAGTTTTGAGTGGATGACAGCCATGAAAGAAGAAATCGATGCACTTGAGCAAAATCAAACTTGGGATCTGATGCCAAAGCCAAGAGATGTGAAACCCATATCCTGTAAGTGGGTTTACAAGATAAAGTGTCGTCTAGATGGGTCCATCGAGAGGTACAAGGCACGATTGGTAGCTCGTGGTTTCACTCAACAGTATGGACTAGACTATGATGAAACGTTTAGTCCAGTGGCAAAACTTACAACTGTACGAGTCCTACTTGCAGTTGCAGCCAACAAAGACTAGAATTTGTGGCAGATGGATGTGAAGAATGCTTTTCTTCATGGAGAGCTGGATCGGGAGATCTACATGATCCAACTAATGGGTTTTCAGAGCCAAGATCATCTTGAATATGTGTGTAAGCTGCGGAAAGCACTCTACGGATTGAAACTAGCACCCAGGGCGTGGTATGGTAAGATTGTTGAATTTCTAACTCAAAGTGGTTATTCAGTAACACCTGCAGATTCTAGCTTGTTTGTCAAAGCCAATGAAGGTAACCTAGCTATCGTGCTAGTGTACGTGGATGACTTAATCCTAACCGGTAATGATAACGCAAAAATTCTTCAAACGAAGGAGAATTTATCAGTTCGTTTCCAAATGAAGGAACTTGGACAGCTCAAGCACTTTCTTGGTCTAGAGGTTGATCGCACACAAGAAGGAATATTTCTTTGTCAACAGAAATATGCCAAAGATTTGTTGAAGAGGTTCGGAATGCTCGAATGCAAGCCGATTTCGACGCCGATGGAGCCAAATGCCAAAATGTGTGAACATGAAGGAAAAGATTTGGAAGATGCGACGATGTATCGACAATTGGTAGGTAGCCTGATCTACTTAACCTTGACACGACCTGACATTTCTTATGCAGTTGGTGTGATGAGTTGGTACATGCAAAATCCAAAGAAGCCTCATTTGGAAGCAGTTCGACGAACACTGAGATATGTGAAGAGTACAATTGACTATGGTCTTTTGTACAAGAAAGGTGAAGACTGCAAGTTAGTTGGTTACTGTGAGGCTGACTATGCAGGAGATCATGATACCAGGAGATCAACAACTGGGTATGTGTTTAAGCTTGGTTCTGGAGCAATTTCTTGGTGTAGTAAGAGACAACTGACGGTATCATTGTCAACCATTGAAGCTGAGTATCGAGCTGTAGCAATGGAAGATCAAGAGAGTACATAGTTGATACAACTGATGAATAATCTACATCAACCAATAGATTATGCAATTCCGTTGCACTGTGACAATCAGTCGGCAATTTGTTTGGCGGAGAATCCGGTCTTTCATGCAAGAACTAAGCATGTTGAAGTACACTATCACTTTATCAGAGAAAAGGTTCTGCAAGAAGAAATTGAGATGAGGCAAATCAAGACAGATGATCAAGTTGCGAACTTGTTCACAAAAGGCTTGAGCACTGGCAAGTTCGAAATGTTTCACTATCAGCTCGGCACAGTGCAAATAGTGAGAGCTGGTGTTGAGAGGGAGTGTTGAAGATCAACCCAAGCCCATTACAAAGCCCAACCTACCCTTTATTTCAGCCCAAGGAAAATAAAAGCCCAATCCATTTTATCTAACCCCAAGATAATGGAAGCTTCTCAACAAATGTGGAAGAAATATATTTTTAAGAGAAAATTGTAGAAGGATGTAGAAAGGAGATTTTAGGAGAAGTGTGTAGAATGTGGTAATAATGTATGACTAGGATTATTTCTCATTTTAATATTTGTATGGTGTAGATTGCATGGTGAGAACTATAAATACCCTCCCTTGCATTTGGGTTAAGTATCCTTAAAAAAATAAGTCTTTGTATTCTTAGTTTGAGTGTGGTGTCTTGTAAGTTGTGAGCTTCTTATTAAGTGTCTATTTCTCTTCAAATTGGGAGTAGTCTTTGGAAAGTGTTGTAGTGTCTTTTATTGTGGGTATAATACAAGTAATTTGTTTACTTGTTTGGGTCCAATATTAGTAAGTTTAGAGTTGTATACTCTAAAGTTTACTCAACACATAATCTCTCAAACTCTGCAGCAATTTTGTCTCTTGATTTTCCACTTGAATTTCCATTCCCATTTTTCGCCTTCTTCGGCGAATGCTCGAATTCATGCTCCTTGCCTTCTGCCTTCTGCCTTCTGCCTTCNCTTGATTTTCCACTTGAATTTCCATTCCCATTTTTCGCCTTCTTCGGCGAATGCTCGGATTCATGCTCCTTGCCTTCTGCCTTCTGTTTCTTAGTCATAATTTTCTCTTCATCACCAGATGAGTGAGCCCGAGATCTTGTCTCATGAATCTGCACATTCATATAAATCAGTATATATGGTTTTGCATAGTTATTCTATTTAGCTGAAAAATAAAAAAGTAGGCAAGTTATTATTATTTTATTTTATTTTTGTGTTAAAAGGTTTCGAGGGGCAACTGGGTGGACGGTTCCACCCTATCTGAGTGTGACCATAACAACCCGAACCCACAAGAGAAACCCACTAGCCGAGATAGATGTAGGAAACTACATCGCTCCTAACTCGAACCATAGTGTAACCCGACACCTCACAAGCTATTACTTCAAGAGACACAGTGAAGAATCTCCAAAAAGAACTCACTAATCACTCATTAAACTCGGGAAGGAACTCAAAACAACCATCCAAAAGGAGAAACTTAAAACGAAAAAAAACATAGAAACCCTAATAAACACACAGAAAATACTTTTATTTTCCCAGAACCCATNATCACTCATTAAACTCGGGAAGGAACTCAAAACAACCATCCAAAAGGAGAAACTTAAAAGGAAAAAAAACATAGAAACCCTAATAAACACACAGAAAATACTTTTATTTTCCCAGAACCCATACATATGGGGAAAGCACCGTCAATAAAAAAGAAGAGAAACAGAAAAGTGAAAATCAAACAAGGAACAAACCATCATATTCCACCTTTCTGTTTGTTTCTCCTGAAACCCGAAAGGAAAAGAGAAACAGAAAACAACGATAATTCCCAACAACCAAACATAAAAACTAAGTAGACAAAGTTAAACAGAGAGGTATAGTCCAGCAACAACGTTGGGTACGTAAAAGTGCAAGTTAAGGATTCTTCTACATAAACCAACCGTAACATGGTAGATCAAACCACATAATCAGACACGTACTTAGTTTTTGTGCATGAGCGTGGCTTCTCTGTGGTGTCCATAAGCAAACCTATGGATGTAAGAGTTGTGAGCATGCCACGAATTCAAGTGGGAATTCTTCAGAACGTCCCTTGGACATGTGGTCTGAATATATTTAAAACAACGAAATATTGTACTCATAAAAAAAATGGTAATATTTATGGATAAAATGCATAGGTGTTGATTGTGGCGTTTTCGATTCAGTTATGTTTCGATTTGAAACGGATTTTTGGGATCAAATTTTTAAAAATTATTTTACACTCTCCTTAACCAAATTATACTTTTCGTAGTGGGTGTTTGATAATATTAATAAAATTAAATACTTTAAGCACTTAATAAATTAAACTCGTTTGATAGCTTAAAACTCACATTATTTAATATTTTAAACACATTTTTTAAACAATAGGCTAAAATTTTAAGTATTAAGTCACCTACTTATCACTTAACACTGAAGATATTAGTCAGTAAAAATTTTATCAATTTTTTATAATTGACAAATATATNTTAAGCACTTAATAAATTAAACTCGTTTGATAGCTTAAAACTCACATTATTTAATATTTTAAACACATTTTTAAAGAATAGGCTAAAATTTTAAGTATCAAGCCACCTACTTATCATTTAATACTGAAGATATTAGTCAGTAAAAATTTTATCAATTTTTTATAATTGACAAATATACCCTCAATATATTTTACACTCTTAACTTTTCAATACCCACCACTACCATTAAGTTGTCGGGCGTCACTACCACCACCACTACCACCACCATCATTGTGTCGCCACCACACCATTATTATTGTGTCACTGCCACCACAACCACCGCCACTACCATTGTGTTGTCGACACTACTACCATTATGTCACCATCATAATTGTGTCGCCGCCACCATTATCATCGTCACTATCATTGTGTTATTGCCACCACCACCAACGCTACCATTATGACATCATCACTATTGTGTCACCGCCAACACATTNTACTACCATTATGCCACCATCATAATTGTGTTGCCGCCACCATTATCATCGTCACTATCATTGTGTTATCGCCACCACCACCAACGCCACCATTATGACATCATCACTATTGTGTCACCGCCAACACATCATTGTGTCACCATTATCGCCGCCGCTACTACCACTACTATTATGACACTACCACTAACACCATTGTCACATCCATTGTGTCGCCGCCACTATCACTATCACCACCACCACCATCATTGTGTTGCCACCGTCACCACCATCGTCTCCACCACTACCACCACCACCATCATGATGGCGGTGGCAAGAATAAAGAAGTTACGGATAGATGGTCAAAAAGAATAACAAAATTAGAATAATAGTAATTTTTAGACTTCAGCTCCTTATATTTATCAAATAGTTTAATTCAATTCAATACTTAAATTTCAATTGATACCAAATAGTCTACGAATTAAAAAATTCAGCATTCATCACTTAAAATTTAGTATTTAGTTTTCAGTGTTCAACTTTCAGTTTTATCAAATACCACCTTAGCCTAGGGNAGAATAAAGAAGTTACGGATAGATGGTCAAAAAGAATAACAAAATTAGAATAATAGAAATTTTCAGACTTCAGCTCCTTATATTTATCAAATAGTTTAATTCAATTCAATACTTAAATTTCAGTTGATACCAAATAGTCTACGAATTAAAAAATTCAGCATTCATCACTTAAAATTTAGCATTTAGTTTTCAGTGTTCAACTTTCAGTTTTATCAAATACCACCTTAGCCTAGGGCTGTCAATTTTCGGCATGACACGTTAACACGACATGAAACAAATACGAAATTAATGGATCAGACACAAAATTAAATGAGTCAATGGGTTAAAATGGATCAACACGCTTAAACATGAAAAAAACTTATGTTGGGCTCATATCAAAATCAGGTCAACCCAATTTTGACTTGATTAACCCGTATATTTTAAACGGTTTGACATGATTCGGATACGAATACGACCTAACTTATTGTAGACCCATTTAACTCGTTTATGGCAATATAGATTGTCTATTATGTATGACTGGCGTGGTTTTAACGTTTTTACTTATTAGTTCTTACATCTAATATGGTAATTGGTAGTATAGTTCTTGTTTTAATTTTTGGGTTGCAACTTGAATGCATTTTAGTTAATTTCACTGATGAAATGCGATATGTTATTTGCAAAAGAATTATTTGAAATTTTGGATAAATGATTGAATGGTGTATTTAATGGTAATGAACAGGTGCAAAAACAAGTTATGTCTATTAAATAAGTCTATGTTATGTATGTGTGTTAAATAGGTTAAACAGATCATGTTATTTGTGTTAATCAGAAAATGACCTATTTTATTAAACGTGTCAAACAAGTCAGGTTCGGATAACCCGTTTAATGACCAGGTCAGATTAGTGTATACACATTTCGACATAATTATTAAACATGTCAGTTCGGGTTTTGAGATTTTCGACATAAACTCGAAATTAACCTAACACGAAATGATCCAACTCAACATGTTTGACACCCCTACCTTAGCCTGCCTTTTTTTTCTTATTGTAATTTTTTTTAAATTCTAATTTGACCCTCAATTTTAAATTATCTAAGGGTCTGTTTGGTTAGAAAGAAAAAGATGATAGAAAGTGAAAGTGATAGAAAGTGAAGTGAAAGAAAAAGAAACTAAAAACAAATATATTTTCTTGTATGTGTTTGATTATGATGAAAATTTTGTAAGAAAGTTTTAAGAAAATTTCATTTTGTAGTTTGAAAAGCAA